AGCCCTGCCGAGCCCCGACTGCCCGAGGGTGAAGCCAGCCGGCCCGAGAACTGGACGGTCGCTCGGACCTGGGCCCTACGGACTCGAATCCCCGCCTGCTCCGCCGCCGCTGCCACCAGCTGGGCGGGATCCGGCTCTGGTGTTTTGGGGAGGGGGTGTGGTGTAGGGAAAGGAATCCTGGGGATTTCTGGCTCCCTCTCCCCCCCTCCTTTTTTTCCTGGCCAGCGGGGCGTCAGACTCAGGGAATTCGCTCATGGCTTTCTTGATGAAGAAGAAGAAATTCAAATTCCAAACCACTTTCACCCTGGAGGAGCTGACTGCGGTCCCCTTCGTGAATGGGGTCCTCTTCTGCAAGGTCCGGCTGCTTGATGGCGGGGATTTTGTCAGCTTGTCGTCAAGGTAGGAGCTGGGGCCTCGGTGACTGCAGATGATGAGTGAGATTTAGCCACTTGGCCAGCGGGGAAGTGCCCTTTGGGGCTGAGCGAGTCTTGAGGATTGTGTGTGTCTGGGGCAGGTTTGCACAAGGCAAACAGTGACCTGGGAGGTCTGGGAAGCTGGCCGGGTGCCGGGCACCCTTGTGCAGGTGATCAGCGGGGGTCTGTTTCGGCCCTTTCCTGAGGCCCTGGGCGAACCCCGCGACAGGCCATGCCACGGACTCCAACAGAGTCCAGAGTGGGTTGTGTCTGGCAGGGGCGAGAGAGGGAGTTGATTCCTGGCCACTTTGCACCCAGCTGGCCACCCGGGCTGTCATGCTTTACCGCCTGGGCCAGCTACAGGTTCCCTGGCACTCCCTGGCGGGGCCCAGGCGTTCCCAGGCTGCCCAGAGGGAGGTGACTGGATTTTGGCCGGCCCAGCCCCCTCCCTCTGAGTGACTGTCCTCTTCTGGCCTGAGCTGGACTGTTTTGTATTGCAAATGCCCTTGTCAAGGAGGCAGCGGACCTCTCTGAAAGAGACTTGGTCAAGTTGGATTTTGTGTGCACCCCCAGCCTGTAGGTCCAGCGGATTGAGTTCTCAAGCTGGGCCCTCCTGGGGGCCTGGCCTGCCTGGCTAGTGCCTTGGAGTCTGACATATGGGGGTTCAGTCCTAGCTCTCTTTCTGGGCCTAGTTGTGGGGTGGGTCTGCTGCCTAAGGCCCACTGGCTCCTGCCCTGGCCAGACCTCCTGTGGGCTCAGTTAGCTGCCGCTGCCTCTCTGTCTTCAGATGGGGTACATGTTACGGGCGGCAACATGGAGACCCAGACAGAAGTAAAGCGTCCTGCTGGAGAGCTCGTGGGGGCAGCTGTCAGCAGAACCTGAACTGTTTGGAGACCTGTTGGTGATTTGGAGGCACAGTGCCCTGCTGGGACGGGGACAGGGTAGCCACACCCCTAACTCAGGTTTGACAGTCTCAGGTGTGCGCCGAGCAGGTTGCCTTTTCTGTGCACTTGGGCCCGTTTGTGTCAGGAGGCTCCGCCGAGCAAGGGCTGCTTATCTGAGGAATTCAGACGAGGGCTGCCCTTTGCTGTGGGGGCAGGCCCCTCCGAGATTGCCCGGGAAGCCTGTGATCTCGCAGCTGCCCACAGGGCCAGTCGGCCAGGGTTCAGGGAAGGGGCTGTGCGCCGCTCACTGCCTGGGTGACTGTGCCCTGAGTCCGAGAGCCAGCGGATACTGTACTCTGCGCCCTGGTTACCGGCTCCTCTCTCTCCACGTCAGGACTGTGCTCCAGAGCAGAGTGGAGCTGGGGGCCTGTAGGGTTTTACCCCCGTTTTACAGAAGAGGAAACTGAGGCTCAGAGAGGGAGGGGTTTGCTTGAGTGAATACACAGAACCAAGATTGAAACTCGGATGTGCTTCTCCCCCATCCTGTTACGTCTTTTGAGCCTTGAGCCGCCCTGTTATGTTTGCCCTCCTGGGAAATGGGGGAGTCACGTGTCACACACAGAGTTGAGAGGAGAGGAGTGGGTGGCATTACGCTGCGTGTGCCTCGGTGCACAGCTGCAGCAGGCGGGGCTCCTGTGGCAGAGGCGCCGGCTCCAGACCCCCCTAGGTCTTCGGGGACTGGCTGGAGTCAACAAGGGGCCTACATGTGACCCCAAGAATTGATCTCCAGTCCAGACTGAGGTCTCTCCTAGCCTCCAGGCCCTAGGGACCACTGTCACCCTGCCTGTCAACCTTTCCATTGCCCTAAACCTGCCCCCTCTTCCGGGAAAGTCTGGAAAGTTCCAGGTCTCAGCCCACAGCGTCTGGATTTCACCTTTGCCTCCCCTTTTTCCCTCCTGGCAAGGGGCCATGGATTCCCTGAACCCTGCTGAGCCCAAACAGCCTTTCCCAGCCCTTTTCCTGCATGAAAGCTGAGTGGGGCTGAGGAGGGAAAAGCTGGCACTGAGCCCCCAGCCTGGGCTCGCAGTGGGTGCTGGGCACCTGTTCACTGCTGGGCAGGTGTGGCTGGAGAGAGCAGCCAGCACTGTTGGGCTCTGAGGCCGCTCAAGAGCTGCTGTGCTTTTGCTCGGGACTTGGGGGTTTCTGGATGCCCACCCCTTCCACCTTCACCAGGTCTGCAGCCTGGGAGGCCCCCTCAAAACCCACCCCTCCAGATCCCCAGGGCCTTGGTGTTTTTGAGTTGGAATAGGGTCAGGGGGTGCCAGGAGCTGCAGAGGTCCTTGGCCAGTTCCAGTAGCGTACCCCTCCCCCAAGCTCAGGGACCCGGAGCCCAGACACCAAGGGTGGCAGCAGTGGGGCCCCGAGGCCCGTCCGCGCGGCGCCCGCCCTCCCAGCCTGCATTGCCCTGTGAGTTGGGTGCCATGGCAACAGCCTGTACCTTGCTCCAGCCTGACCCACTCTGAGCAGGTAGAGCCGGCGCCCACCGCTCAGCCCCAGCCTCGTTTCCTGACAAACGCAGCCCTCCCAGCTGACGTGCTAACGTGCTCAGGGGGCCATGTCCGTGACTCCTCCCAGCCACCCAGAGAGGCCCAGGCCGGAGAGGTAAAGCCTGGCCGGCACTGTCAGGAGGGCTGTCACTGTTCTTGCACGAGGGCTGTGCCCGGACATGTGCAGGGACCTGCTGAGCTCCTGGAACGTGGGGTCGCCGAGCCTTCGAAAGCACCCTGTGGGCTGAGGAAAGGGGTCACACAGGCCCAAGGTGGGGGACCCGTCCCTTGGGGCACAGAGCTGGGCTTGTATTCAGGCAGATCCAGCCCAGAGCCCTGCCTTCCTCGGGCACAGGCTACAGCCCAGTGGTAGCTTCACATTGGAAAAAGGCCTTTCAAGGGGCTGGACAGGACAGGAAAGCCCAGACCGCAGTCATTTGGAGGCACCTGTGATGACGGAGGGGAGAAAGGGTCCTCAGAGCCAGGCCATAGGGTGGCGCTGACTCACTGCTGGCCACAGGCTGGCACTGGGGCACAGTGCACATTTGCCAAGGTCCCTGCCGGACACCACCTGGGCCTTGCCCCACGTGGCATCTAGGAGATTTTCCCTGGGGGCCCGGAGGGATGTAGAGGGCTCAGCCACGTTCGGCGAGTCAGGAAGTATGGGCCAGGCTGTGGGCTCCCCAGGGCTATGCGCCTCCTGCCAATCTGCCCTTCATGCACGAAGAATCCCAAACATCCCGAGAGGTCTCTGCTTGGCTGGCACCCGTCTGAGGCCTGCCCCTGCACGTGGCTGGCCGTGCCAGGGGAGGGAGCGAGGGGGAGGTGATGACTTACCTCAGAGCAAGTCCTGTCTGGAGGAGACAGGCGAAGCGTCTCAGCCAACAGGGGGAAACTGCGGCCAGGGCAGAGATGTGACGTAGGCAGGGCGCTTCTCAGGAGGAGCTAAGGGCACGGCTGAACTGACTCTGGCCGCCTTGGCTTCAATCCCCGTGCCTCAGTACCCCTGTTCCAGGAGGGAGAGAAGAAGGAGGAAGCCCTCTCTTCCCCCAGGGGCGCCTCCTGCTCTGGACTTAAGTGCTGGACTGTCCAAGAAGCAGACTGCTGGGCGGCCTGCCCTCGGCCTTCCTCTTGGGGCAGCTTCAGCTCCTCAGCTGTCTTTCCGGAGGGGTTGCTGGCTGGGCAGCCTGTTGACAGCAGGGCGCCCTTAGGCCTGAGGGGACTCGGGACTCTCAGGGCATGAGGAGGGCTGCTCCGCTCTGCCGCGGGAGGCCCTGTGCCCCAGGGGACCAGATCGTGGCACACGCTTCCCGGGCCTGGCCTGGCCTCCACTTGCCCGGAAGGGTGCAGGACGCCCCTGAGTCACCACCCCATGAGGCCTGCCCTGAGGCACATCTGGGTGTGAAGATGGGCTCCTGGTTCTGTCCTGGGCCCAGAGGGGCAGGGATGTGGCGGTGCCCTGGGCCCCACGGCCGGGGCGCTGCAGACTGAGTGGAAGGAGGTAGCCAGCAGGGATGCACCCCTACTCCTCGTTCCCCAGCACCCTCTGCTCCTGGGCTTGTGGAGATGGGCGGGGCCTGAGAGCTCTGTTCCCAGGGGGCCCCTCTGGGTGGGGATAGTGTGCCCTCCGGGCCAGGCAGACCAGAGCGGGTCCTCCTCAGGTTCCACTAGACGCCGGGGGCAGAGGTTGCTATCCACTAACAGGCATTGACTGGGCGCCCACGTCACTGTGACAGGGAGGTCTTCCCCAAGGAAGTGACCTTTCAAGGCTCTTCAAAGGTCGAGGGGGACGGCCTGAAGAAGAGCCCCCAGCTCGCAGGTACCTCATCTGTGGTCTAGGTGGGGGTTGGGATGGCCGGAGTGGGGCGAGGGACCGGAAGGCTGGGGCCAGTGAAGATGGTGTGGGCCCAGCTGACTGTTTCTGGTCTTGGGGGTCCAGCCCAGGGTGGGCGGTATGGGCTGGCACCCATGAGGAATGGTTGGTTCCCCCAGGCGGGCTGTGCTGTGCTGGCCTGGCCCAGGGAGAGGCATATTGGCGAGCTGGTTGCAGGCAGGGCGCAGGCGGGTCTCCTGGTCTGGCAGTGTCTGGCCCCATACCTGGCGCTCAGAGTGTGGCAGATGGCCATCCAGGGCGCTCCGGGGCCCACGGAGCTGGGGTTTTGCTGGCTCACCCCCAGCGCACCAGTGTAGGCAGCGTGGAAGCCCAGGCGCTCATTTCTTTTGCGTTGGAAGATAGGGCAGCAGTGCCATGTGGCGGCGTTTGGCCCAGGGGCGCAGCCTGCTGCCTGGGCTGCCCGCCTCAGGCGCCACTGAGCCCTCCTCACGCCCTTGGGCTGCTGATGGTGGTTGCGCCCCCTCGTTTTACTCTAGCCAGCCTTGTCCCAAGGGGCCCCTGGGAGAGGCTTTCCCTGTGTGCCAGGGCAGCAGAAAGGGGTGCCTGTGGAGAACAGTTCTGGGCTGGAGGAGTGAGCAGGGCCAGGCCCTGGCCCCAGGCAGCTGCCCCTCTCTCCCCCACCCCCTTGGTGGGGTCAGCCCCCTGCCTGCGCCCTTGGGAG